TGGGCAACTCATTGCTCCTGCTTTGAATTTTGTTGTTTCGTTATCTTCCTTGGTGAGCTGTGCAAGCTGCAATGCCGAATAATGTTTTTTATAGGGTAGGGGCCAGTGAGGATAAGTTTATGGAACCAAGTGGAGGGTAGTTCCAAAAGCTCTGGGAACCACTGATCTTGATCCATTGCATAAATATATTTTTTTGTCTCTGAAAAGTGCTTCTTGAGAAACACCCCTCCCCCCAAAAAACCCCAAAAAGCTCATTGCAGAGAGATATGCTGCATGAACCCAGAGCGTACCCGTTCAAAGACAGTAGTAATCATTTTTGTGTTATAGCAAAGAGGGAAAAGACATGAACCACAATTTGGGGTCTTAATTTCCCGGCAGCCAATGCCAATAGAGAAACAGGCAAAGTGACATTATTTTCCTTGCCCAACAGCAAAAAGCATGTGAGCTCAGTTGATGGAACCCTTCTTCTCCTGTGGCTAAACTGAGACAGGTATTTTTCATGAAGATATTTGGATAGCAGACCCAGAATAATGCAGTGGGCAATGGCATCTGTAATCATTTGAGGGCAGACGGTGAATGGGGGTACCCACACCTGCCCAAGGATGTTATGGATCACAATCGCCACTTCTCTCTTCATCCAGCTGGGGCATGCATTGCAGGAGGTCAGACTATATGGCCCTTGGCAAACCCTTCCTACTCTACACTTCTATGATTCACTATGCAGGGAGGGAACGGCACGAATAACCTAATTAAGGGGAGAATGATCAAATGCTTATCAAGTAGCTACACCCACCACTTGTGGGTGGCAGGATCCAGAATCGATCTAGATTGAAGTTAGCATATTGAGGGTGAGCCTACATGATTCCCATTTGAGAAGAACTGGGGGGGGGGGGATACGATACAATAATCTTTATTGTCATTGTCCCGTACAGAACAAGGAAATTGAAAATCTACACCAGACATTCAGAAACCAACAAGTCTGCTATCTCAGCTATCCTAGCCTGGTTAGTCCCCTAATAACTCTGATACCCCATAATTAAATACAATATACTCCCGTAGAGACTATCTTAAAAAGGTAAAGGGACCCCTGACCATTAGGTTCAGTCGTGACCGACTCTGGGGTTGCGGCGCTCATCTTGCTTTACTGGCCGAGGGAGCCGACGCACAGCTTCCGGGTCATGTGGCCAGCATGACTAAGCGGCTTCTGGCGAACCAGAGCAGCGCACGGAAACGCCGTTTACCTTCCCGCCGGAGCGGTACCTATTTATCTACTTGCACTTTGACATGCTTCCGAACTGCTAGGTTGGCAGGAGCAGGGACCAAGCAATGGGAGCTCACCCCATGGCGGGGATTCAAACCGCCGACCTTCTGATCAGCAAGTCCTAGGCTCTGTGGTGTAACCCACAGCACCACCCGCGTCCCAGAGACTACCTTACACTGCGTTTAAAACCAAAATCACATTTGGGTAGAAACTGTTTCTCAGGCAGCTAGTCCTAGTCTTTATAACCCTGTACCTTCTTCCAGAAGGCAAAAGCTGAAAGAGATCATTTCCAGGGTGCGCACTATCCTGCACTATCTCTGCAGCTTTCTTATGGCACCTGGAAGCATAGATTTGATCTAAGGTAGGGAGAGGAGGCACCCAATTATTTTCTCCGCAGTCTTTACATCCCTGGACAACATTGTTTTTTCCCTGACTGTGCAGCTCCCAAACCACACACAGAGACCATAAGTTAATGGCTTAGTGTGTACTCATCCTACGTTTGATCTGAGAGTAGGCCCACTGAAAGTTGGTCGTGCCCATTCATTTCAGTGGGTCTACTGAAATGTATTTATTGAATTTATATCCCACCCTTCCAAAGGAGCCCAAAGTTGCAAAGTTATCCACATTCTAAAAAACAAGTGAGAAAACAGAACTTCTGATCCAAAAGTCTTCCTTGCCCAGCTGAAGCCGGATGCATCGCAAAAGCCTCTTGGAATAAACGGATGGAGGTTTGCCTGTGAATACATGTACTTAAGATTGCTGCACTCTGCATGCTCTCTAATGTGGCCAGCAACCATCTTATACCCTCCTAGGCTCTAAAGGCAATCTTCGAGCTCTGCAGGGACTCCCAGTTATACCAGTTACAAGATCAGCACTCCATTTGGCTTTCAATAATTCAGCGGAAGATTAAAGTTTAATGCCGTCCCCAGCAACATCCCAGAGAGGCAGGGGAGTTCCCTTTATTCATTAATCTGAAAATTATTATTGGTTTTAATTAAACACACAGCCATCCCTTTATTGCAGAGGGAGCTGGGGGCCCTGGCGAATTAAGCAATTGGAAGCGATAACATGATTAATCTGCGGCAAGGGCGGAAGGCGGCGGCAGCGGCGGCAAGAAAGGAAGGACATTGCAGGAATGGTTTGACGGGGTGGCTGTGGTGGGCTAGGCCTAGAAACACAGCTGGGTGTCACAGTGGGGTCTTATCAACCCCCCCCAATGGAAACTGGGTAATATGCTAAATTCTGCAATGGTGGAGCTTCTGGCCGTGATTGGCTGAGCTTTCGTGATGTCACAGAAGGGAGCGGCCATTACTTGAGCTGTTCCGATCCTAGTGACAAAAGGCAAAGTGGGATTGTTAAAGATGGAAGGGGAAATGGCAGCCAAATGAGAAATGGAAGTGTGATAGGAATTTTGAGGTCTTAGATATATGGTAATGTTCATAGGTGTACCAACCAAGCACGTACATAGATCAGCACAGGAAGACCGACCTGAAACCATTTTGATTCCCAAACTGACCAAATGTTCTCTCTGCAAGGAGGGGGGCGGGTCAAGGAGCCTTCCCATTGTATCAGGAATTGAGTAATCAGCATTTTAATGGGTGACAGACTATCAGGAAAGGCAATCAGATAACGTGGCAAACAGGAAAAACAACATTCAAATTTCTGTTTTAAACCGCCTTTTCTGTGATGTAGGTAGGGTGTATCTGGGGGGTGGTTTTAGGTTACACCCCTTCTGTGATGTATGTATGATGTTTCTGGGGGGTGGTCTTGATCTACTGGGTGGCAATTTCAAAAGTCCATATAAGGCCTTGCGCGCCATTGTTCTGGGTTCCTCCTTCTCCTGCGTGTGAGGGGAGCACCCTGTTGCAACAGATCAATAAAGATCAAGCTTACTAGCTGCTTTGCTTCTCAATATTCTCTGGCTGGCCTCTGTTATTTTCTCCTACAGATAGGGATACCCCATAAGGAAAAAGGGCAATTTTTGTTTACAACAGAAGGCAGGGAGGAAATGGTAGCAAGATGGACCAGTCCTAGTGTTATGTACTGAAGTTCTCACCTTGGGTCAGCAGGGGGATACTGCAGATAGTTATGCAAATAAGGGATCGAAAGTGACGTTCAGTGATTGGATAGTTTTAGAAAATTGTTACAGTTACGTTGTACTGGAGCTCTATATAAGCAGGCTGACTGAACCCTTCAGTTCAGTTCTGTTCTGGCCTGTGAATAAACAAGAGCTGTTTGAAGAATCGCTGTGTCGTCTGATATGTTCACCCACAACTTAACACCTAGCAAAGCGGAGTGGACGGGGGGGATGGACAGGAGGATGCAGTACAAGGTGGATGGGAGGAACAGAAAAGGCTGTCCCTCAGTGGTCAGTACACAATTTGTTTGCCGAAGAGCCCAAGTTCCCAGGTACTTGGCAACTCCAGGTACAGCTGGGAGGGACTCCCGCCTGCAGACCCTGGAGACCCACTGCTAGTCCAGGCAGTACTGGGATTAAATGGACCAGTGGTTTGATTCAGGATAAGACAACTTCCCATGTTCCTAGGATCGAAGCTACAAGCCCTGGCCCTACCCTGCAAGAATCCTCAGAATCACTCTTATTACAGGTGCTGGGAGTTGTAGCTCTGCGAAGGGCAAACTAAGGTACATAAAAAGAGCCTGCCAGAAGCCTTTTTGTTAGGTATTTTAGGTCAAGCCATACCAAAGGAAACGAGGACTTTATTTATGTATGCCAGTACAGCAGCAAGAATGTTGATTGCACAAAATTGGAAGACTGGAGAAATACCAGCTAAAGAACAATGGCAAGAGAAGTTGACGAACTCTGCAGAACTGGCAAAAATGACAGATAGACTAAGAGAAAAAGACAACAGAGACTTTGAAAAAGATTGGGAGCCATTTGTATTATATTTGCAGAAACAAAGAAAGTCAATAGACTTGATGGCAGGATTTAAATAAACATTGACATTATCAGCATTAGGAAATGTTTAGAAGATAGTGAAATATGATGGTGTATTTACTGTTGTTTTTATGTCTTTAGGCTTGAAGTTATATTATTAATAACTTTTTCTGTTAAGAGATAGCAAAGTGGGTTAAAATAGAAACAAACCAGAAGCGGAATTTGGGGGAAGCCTTGGAGGGGAGGAAGGGAGGAATATATAGTAGATGTTAAGATTTTGAGATGTGTGTAAGGAATGAAAAAATAAAAATGAATAAAAATTTAAAAATAAATAAATAAGAAGAGCCTGCCAGATCAGGCCAAGGGACCATCTAAGTCCAGCCTATTGTTCTCACAGTGGCTGACCAGATGCCCTGATGGGAAGCTCAAAAGTAGGAGCCATCTCCCTAACCAGTACCGTATTTTTCGCTCCAATAGACGCACCAGACCATAAGGCGCACCTAGTTTTGGGAGGAGGAAAACAAGAAAAAAATATTCTGAATCCCAGAGGCCAGAACAGCAAGAGGGATCTGGCTTCTGGGATACCGTGTGGCTGTTCTGGCTTCTGGGATAACCACGCCAAGCCTCTTCAGGGCAGTGGGATGAAGGCTCCCCCTGCCCAAAGAGGCTGCACACGGCTAAGGCAGAAGCCAGGCCAGGCGCATCGCTGAAGGGGTGCTGCGCAGAGAGGGAGAGCTGCGCAGCGCACTTCAGCGAAGCGGGAGGAGGAACAGAAGGGGCTCCGTTCCTCCTCGCACTTTGCTGAAGGGGCGCTGCACAGCTCTACCTCTCTGCACAGCACCATTCGCTCCATAAGACGCACTCACATTTCCCCCTACTTTTTAGGAGGAAAAAAGTGCGTCTAATGGAGCGAAAAATACGGTATTCAGGAGAAGTAGCACATTTGACAGCAGAGGCAGAGCACAGCCATAATGGCTGTTAGCCATTGAGAGCCTTTTCTATGAATTTCTCCCAAGTTGGTGGCCATCACTGGCTGTTGTGGGAGTGAGTTCCATAGTTTAACGATGAGTAAGTCCTTTCTTTTATCTCTCCTGAGTCTTCCAACATTCAACTTCCCAGATGTCAATAATAATAATAATAATAATAATAATAATAATAATAATAATTTATTATATATATCCCACCCATCTGGCTGGGCTTCCCCAGCCACTCTGGGCGACTTCCAACAAAATGTTAAAATACCGTAATGCATCAAACATTAAAAGCTTCCCTAATCAGGCCTGCCTTCAGATGTCTTCTGAAAGTCTGGTATTTGTTCTTCTCTTTGACATCTGGTGGGAGGGAGTTCCACAGGGCGGGTGCCACTACCGAGAAAGCCCTCTGCCTGGTTCCCTGTAACTTGGCTTCTCGCAGTGAGGGAACCGCCAGAAGGCCCTCAGCTCTGGACCTCAGTGTCCGGGCAGAACAATGGGGGTGGAGATGCTCCTTCAGATATACTGGACCGAGGCCACAAGTTCTAACATCATGAGAGAGGACTAAGAACTTTTCTCTGGACACTTTCTCCAGGCCATTTTAGAAATGTCTGTGGGCATGATCCAAGTCTCCAGCGCTCTTTTCTCCTGAGGAGACTGATCAGCTGCTCCTTGGGATCTCCTGTGGCTCAGACAAGACTGCAGGAAGATCTCTTTGCCGTTTCCAAAGAGCTCTCTGCACTTTTACCCCACTGCTTTAAAACACAGCTCTGAGACATTTACAAAAAAGACCTCGTGGCCTTTAGAAACTGGCAAGAGGGGATGGGAGACGCCTGCCGGTCCTTCGGTGTTGAAGCGTTGTATAAGTTGAAAGAGCGATTGTTACCTTATTAGAATAAGAATCCCAGCTGGGTCCCGTAAAACCACACCGAAGGCACGTTCCCAGGGTGAAGATGAAGTTTATGGGATGTGAAGATGGGTTAGGGCAACGGGAAGCCTTAACAACAGGGATCTGGTTTCTTAGAAATAACAGATCACCGGAGGAGGCTAAGAGTGGCTCGTCCCTCTGCAATCGCTGCCGATAAGATCAGCTCGTGGCTGGTGTTCCCCGTGAGGCCCAGACACTGAGGCTTGCGGGGCAGCAGAAATAAATTCTTAAAAGCTGAGACAAATTAAGTGCAGCGGTTAGAAAATGCTGACGGGCCCCTCTCCTCCCTGCTCGGTCCTACGCAGGCAAAGGAAATGAATATATGGGGGGGGGGGACTACCCAAAGTTGAGCCATCCTATTCCAAAAGGGTTGGGGGTCACCGGAGAAAGACAGTGAGACGTCTCCCTTTGGGTGGAAGTCAGAGGTCTGCAGACACAGAGGAGAAGCTTAATGGGGTGCCAAGATAGTTTTTGTCACTGTCCAGCAGATGTATTACATAGAGTTTCACATGCGCTCACACAAACGTTCCCTGAACAGTTGGAGATTTCAGAGACTAAGGGTTGTAGCCAGCTAAGACAGTGATGATGCACTGGTTAGAGTGTGGGATTTGGGCCTAGGAGACCAGGGTTCAAATTCTGGATGATCTTGGGCCAGTCACAGTCCCTCAGCCCAACCTACCTCACAGGGTTGCTGTGAGGATAAATTGGGGACGAAGAGAACCCTGAGCTCAGTGGGAAGCTGGGATATAAATGGAATAAATATATAAAAATAAATACTCAAGAGTAGTCCCGTTCACGTATATTAATGACCCTAAGTTAGCCTTGTCCATTCAATCCAATGAGTCTACTCTGTGTAGGGCTAGCATTGCATGTAGCTCATTGAAAGGAACGGAGTGGTGTTAGTCACGGCCATTCATTTCAATGGGTTTCCTCTGAGTAGGACTAACGTTGGATCTGTTTTCTTGCTTTTCTCTGTGAAATCCAGTCTGATGAGACATTCAGGAGAACCTGAGGGCTTGTTTGCGATGATGACGATGATGTTGATTTAACTAATATGCCACTAAAGACCAAAACAAGCTTTTAAGCAATTGAGCTCAGTGGCAGAACATCAGAAAGACCTCCACTGGTGATTGTTTTGCCTCCGGTTCAATTCAGCTCCTGGAGATGTCTCACCTGATGAACGTTCCTGCTTTCATCCCTTGTTGTTTCTTGAGAGCTTGTTTCTTATGTTACAATTTGCCCCCTGTTGGATCTTTGGTCATGAGCGGAAGGGCTGCTGATGCACCAATCCAGCTGACACTAAACAGATTTGAGCCTGCTCAGTGGCAGGTAGGATTCAGGGAAGAAATTTGGGTTGTTTTGGATTTTAACGTGAATCTACCCCATATGCCCTTGCCCCAAGCTACAGGCAAACTGAAACACAACCTGTCCTTTGAAACTTCTCTGAATTTTGTAGTGCAGTGCTCAGGCCGTATAAAAGTTCAACAATCCATCTGTTCGTGAAAACTGCATACAAGGAAACTGTGCCGATTGCATACAAAAATATGGCTATAAAGAGAAATTTGCACTTAAATGATGCTGAACTTCCATGAAGAGGCAGACAAAAAAGACAGATAGATCTTCACAAATGGGTCCAGAAATGTGGAGAACCAACAGCAGAAACTGAAATTGACTAATGTGAATTATTTGTGGTCACAGTGGCCATCGTGACACACTTTAGTTTGGATTACTGTAATGCTGTCTACATGAGGCTGCCTTTGAAAAGTCAATTGCAGCACCAGTCAAATATTCATGTCAGTTACATCACGGCTGCCAGATTAGGCTATCACCAGGAGCCCCAGGTAAATTGCCTTGGACTCCATGGAGGAAAGACATTCTTATTCTTTTAAAAATATTCCCCGCCTCCTGCAGAAGTGAGTTCCATAGTTTAACTACATGCTGCATAAACAACTCCTTTCTTTTCTCTGTCCCGAATCAGCTTCATTGTATGTCCTGGAGTTCTGGCATTATGAGAGAGGGAGCAAACCTTTCCTCTTTCCATGCTGTGCAGAATGTTATAAATTCCTATCTGTCGCCATTTATTCACCTTCTCTCTAAACTAAAAAGTCTCAAATGCTGCAAACTTTTCTTCCTAGGGAGCCGTTCCATGCCCTTGACCATTTTGGCTGTCCTTTTCCAAACCTTGGCCGGAGAACGGCATTGCAGGGCTTGGGGAAAGCGCGAAATTTCAAAGGACAACTGCGTTTCGTTTCCGCGGATTGTTTCGGGGAATGTGAATCGGGCCTATTCCCTTTGATATGCAAGTTAAATCAAATTTATTTTGCCACCCCCGAGGCAAGACTACGGAAATGTCAATCACCCCTCTTCCAGCTCACTCCTTGGGTGATTCGGCCCGTAGTCAGCTCTACGGAGGGTGCCAGCATTTTCCCTGTGATGAACTTGTTCTCTGGACCTGCTCCTTTCCTGCTGATTGGAGCCAATTTGTGATTCACCCCTTTCTCCCTGAGCAAATATGTGACCGCCTTTTGCTTTCCGTGTAATCAAGAGTTCTGTTTATGCCTCGGACCTCTGCCTTAAACAAACAAACAAACAAACAAACAAACAAACAAACCCTTAAGGCCATCAAATACCAATTGGCAACCCACCCACCCCCTTTCCCATTTTTGTGTGTGTGTTTTTGTCAGCTAAATGGGTTGTAACAGAGATTTGCAAACAAAGGAAATGGGTGATGTCTGGGCTGATTTTCAGGGCACCTGTGATGTTTTCACCTTCGCCTCTGACTGCCTTCTGTGCCATTTTATCACTGGGAAAAACCCATATGTGGTTTTCAGATGTTGCGGTTTTGCTTAGTTATTTCAGAGGGGATGGATGATTTTGTCTCCTTTGATCAATAAAGAAGCTATGTGCTCACAAGCAGACCCTCCAGGTTCAGAGGCCGTGTACCTCTTGATATCAAATGTTAGGCATGGGGAACCTTTGGTCCTTCAGATGTCTTTTAAAAATATATATATATTAATATTTTTATTGAAAGAATTGTAATCATAAAGAAATAAAGTGACACAAAGGGGGGGAAGAGGGGGGAAGTGAGAGGGGGAGAACAAAGATGCGTATAAAAAAAGAAAGAAAATATACAAAAATGCAATGTAATATACTCCCAAACATTCTTACATCAATGGATATGGTGTAATTAACATAATACAGATATAGATGTTAATAGCCTGCTACATTCTGTACAAACTCATTCCAAATGTTGTCCTATTTATCCAAACAAAGTCTACATCTATAAGCAGTCCATTCATAAATTGCAAGTGTTGCCAGTCTCCAGCATCTAAGTTCTAGGTTCCTGGCTGCGAGCAGCACAAAAGTGGCTACACAGACTTCCCTTCCCATCCGTTCCTCTCTCCCTTTGACTTATCTCCGGTGCTCTCGCGGGGGCTATTTCACACGCACGCAAAGTTCCCACAGTCCGTTCCCATCCCATCCTTGAGAAGCATTAAAGGAAAAAACATCAACCATCCGGCCGCAAGGCCATTCGGAAGCCAGCAGCCGGGAGACAAGCTATGCCTCGTGCCAGCGCCTGCTCTGTCTTGTGGCTCCAGCCTGGCTCCACGGCTAAGTTAGAACGTATCATTAGGAAAATTAGAGCAAGGCGCACGCCTTGAGAAAGATGGGAATGAGGCGAAGGCTGGCTGCCCGAGGTCAGGCCAAAGGGCCAACTCGTCTAGCCATCTCTTTGGAATAAGCAGCTGGCCAGATGCCTCTGGGAAAAACACCAGGAGCACCCCGCTGGATCAGGCCCATCCAGTCCAGCCTCCCGTTCTCAGAGCGGCCAACCAGATGCCCATTATGGGAAGCCCAAAGGCAGGACTTTGGTACCACTGCTTTCTCCTGACTTGCAATTCTCGGCAACTGCATAACCTCCAACATTCCTCTGATGGAAATAGGCATGTCCTATTCCATAATAAAAGGGATGTGGGTGGTGCTGTGGGTTAAACCACAGAGCCTAGGACTTGCCGATCAGAAGGTCGGCGGTTTGAATCCCTGCAACGGGGTGAGCTCCCGTTGCTCGGCCCCTGCTCCTGCCAACCTAGCAGCTCGAAAGCACGTCAAAGTGCAAGTAGATAAATAGGTACCACTCCAGCGGGAAGGTAAACAGCGTTTCCGTGTGCTGCTCTGGTTAGCCAGAAGCGGCTTAGTCATGCTGGCCACATGACCCGGAAGCTGTACGCAGGCTCCCTCGGCCAATAAAGCGAGATGAGTGCCGCAACCCCAGAGTCGGTCACGACTGGACCTAATGGTCAGGGATCCCTTTACCTTTACCTTTATTCCATAATAATAATTTTGTTGTTTATACCTCCATCCATCTGACTGACTGGTTTGCCCCAGCCACTCTGGGCAGCTTCCAACATATATAAAAACATCAATAATAATACATCAAACATGTTTGGGGTTTTTTTTTTTAAAAAAACCCTTCCCTATACAGGGCTGCCTTCAGATGTCTTCTAAAGGTTGTAGAGTTATTTATCTCCTTGGCTCAGGGGTCGCATCACTCCAGACCCTCCAACATTTCTCCAATGAAAATGGGGACGTCCTAAACAAAAGCAGGACATTCCAGCATCAAATCAGAAACCGGGGCGGCTTCTGTAAATCCGGGGCTGTCCCTGGAAAATAGGGATATTTGAAGGGTTTGCTGAGGAAGTAGGACATTTGTAGCCATTGTGGCTAGCAGATGTTGAAAGCCTTCTCCTCTAGTCCGTCTCTGCCTCTGGGGTTTCCCCTAACATAATTCATTTTACGCATTGCTTTCATATACGTATGCATTCTCACGCCCCTTCCCCTGCACATTATTTAGTCGGAGAGCAGCATCACAACATTGACCACCGGGCATGATGGCTGTGGCTGACGGGATCTGGAGGCCAGCAATATCGGGAGGCCCACCACAGCCCCGACTGAAGTGTGGAGGATCAATTGTGTTTGTTTGTGTGTGGAATTGAAGCATGTGTTGCGGGTGGTGCTGTGGGTTAAACCACAGAGCCTAGGACTTGCCGATCTGAAGGTCGGCGGTTCGAATCCCCGCGATGGCGTGAGCTCCCGTTGCTCGGTCCCTGCTCCTGCCAACCTAGCAGTTCGAAAGCATGTCAAAGTGCAAGTAGATAAATAGGTACCACTCCGGTGGGAAGGTAAACGGCGTTTCCGTGCGCTGCTCTGGCTCTCCAGAAGTGGCTTAGTCATGCTGGCCACATGACTCGGAAGCTGTACGCCAGCTCCCTCGGCCAATAAAGCGAGATGAGAATCACAACCCCAGAGTCGGTCACGACTGGACCTAATGGTCAGGGGTCCCTTTATCTTTACCTTTAGGCATGTCAGGCCTGTGGGATAGCTCAGTTGGTAGAGCCTGAGACTCTTAAGATCTCAAGGTCAAGGGTTCGAGCCCCATGTTGGGCAAGAAGATTCCCGCATTGCTGGGGGTTGGCCCTCGTGGCCCCTTCCCATTCTAAAATTCTGTGATTCTGTTATTCTGTGTGTTGAGAGAATATAGAAGTGGGGAAGCAGAAAGGCATACGCATTGCCAGGCTCACGTTGAACAGCAGAGGGTGCCCGTGCATTTGCAAAATTGATAGCTTGCTTGTGCAGGGAAGGAAATACGAGTGAAGTTCTCACGCAACATCTTTCGGAAACAGTGCAGAAGATCTGTGCATTTGGGGGGAGGGATGTTGATCGGTGGCAGAACATCTGCTTTGCATGCAGAAAGCCCCAGGTTGGAGCTCAGGCTTTTCCAGGTAGGGCTCAGAATGGCCCCAACCCTGGAGAGCTGCCGCCGGTCTGTGTTGGCAGTACTGAGCTAGATGGGCCAGTGGTCTGGCTCAGTCTAGTGAAGGGCTCAGTGATACAACCTCTGCTTTGCACACAAAAGGGTTCCCAGGTTCAGTCTTGGTATCTTCCGTTAGACAGGACCAGGAAGCCAGATGTCTCTGGGAATAGTATGAGAACATAACAGGAGGCCCATCTTGTCCAGCCGCCGGTTCTCGCAGTCCTGATTGTTAGCCACGTTGGCTGTGGACGATGGGAGTCCAACAGCAATCTGCAGGGCCATTTGAGAGCGAGAGAGCGAGATAGAGAAGGGTGGCAGAGAGAGCGGGGCTTGATCTAAAGAGAGAAGGGTGAAAAAGAACGGAAAACAAACAAAAAATATTTCTTTTCTGCTCTTTTTCTTTCTTCCTGCTCTTTCATATTGTTATCTGTTTTGGAGAATCTAAAAGCCTGGCCCAAATGTGTGTGTCTTTTACTGTTTATTTATGCACTTCTAAAACAATCAGGGACGTGGGTGGCGCTGTGGGTTAAACCACAGAGCCTATGACTCGCCGATCAGAAGGTCAGCAGTTTGAATCCCCACGACGGGATGAGCTCCCGTTGCTCGGTCCCTGCTTCTGCCAACCTAGCAGTTCAAAAGCACGTCAAGTGCAAGTAGATAAATAGGTACCGCTCCGGCGGGAAGGTAAACAGTGTTTCCGTGCGCTGCTCTGGTTCACCAGAAGTGGCTTAGTCATGCTGGCCACATGACCCGGAAGCTGTACGCCGGCTCCCTCGGCCAATAAAGCGAGATGAGTGCTGCAACCCCAGAGATGGCACAACTGGACCTAATGGTCAGGGGGCCCTTTACCTTTACCTTTTAAAACAATCACAACTTGCTTTTGCGGCTGCTGTTGTGCTTGAATCTGCAAAAGGAGGACATTAGGACCAATATTTAATGATGATGGCTGTATCTCCTACTGTCTACATCTGCATTAAGACACACCTTGTATGCAACCCTTGGCATTTCGGAAACTTCGGAGGAGGGGGACCATAAACACAGTGATAGAGCATCTGCTTTGCATGCAGAGGGTCCCAGTTTAAATCCCAAAACGGTATCTCCAAGTAGGAGTGGGGCTGTCCCCTGCCTGAGCCTTTGGAGAACCACTGCCAGCCAGAGTAGGCAATATTGAGTTAAATGGACCAACGGTCTGTCTGGGTGTGAGGCAGATTCGTCTATTTCTAAGAAGAAAGGAGGAGAGGGAGGCTGCGCGCGCACACACACACACACACACACACACTTGAAGCCCATTCCCCACCCGAAAAAAGAATCCTGGGAACTTTAGTTTGTTGAGGGTGCTGGGAGTTGTAGTTCTGTGAGGGGTAAATGAGTGACTGAGGGGGTGGCCCCACCCACTGCAGGCTCAGGGCCTGTCCACTACCTGCATGTGGTCCTTGACGGGGGGGGGAGCCCCCCACCCTTGTGTTTGGAAGATGTCCCTCCAAGAGGAGGCTGAGTGAGGGGCTTGGCGGATGCTCAGCCTCCTTCTCCTTCCAAGCCCTCCTTTGTTTATTTGATTCTTGCACTGAGCCACGTCCTGGACGGCTTTCCTTTCTTGGCTGGACATGACAAGTTAAATCTCCCCCGGGCTATTGCTTTTAAATCACTCTAAATATTTATCCCTTGTTTAGGCTGGGAGGCGCGAGGGGCTCCTCTATCGCATGGCTCCGGGAAAAGCGCCGGCCTTTCACAAGGGAGGCTGCGATCCGCGGCACGCTCCCTTGGTGACCAGCCGGGGGGGGGGAAACATGCGCAGCACCTTTTCGCCTCCTTCTGCGCATTCATAAGCGCATGGTGCATGTCCATACAGGGACATAGTTAAAGATAAAGAGAATCCACAAACAAACACACACCCTCAATTTCCCCTTACTTTATAGTTTTCAGTGCTTGATCTCTGCATTTCAAACCCTCGAGTTCCGATCTAAGTGGGAGAATTTCTAAAATCCCAGAATTGGGGCCTGCACAGTTTGCGGTCGTAGTATCCAATGTGGAGTTGGTACAGACCCAAAGGATCATCTAGTCCACATCCACCCACACCCGATGCTGAGTTCGTAAAGTTGTTTCCCATCCTCCTTCCTCTCCTCCATCCCTGTTACAGTGGTACCTCAGGTTACATACACTTCAGGTTACATACGCTTCAGGTTACAGACTCCGCTAACCCAGAAATAGTACCTCGGGTTAAGAACTTTGCTTCAGGATGAGAACAGAAATCGCGCAATGGCAGTGGGAGGCCCCATTAGCTAAAGTGGTACGTCAGGTTAAGAACAGTTTCAGGTTAAGAACAGACCTCCAGGACGAATTAAGTACTTAACCCGAGGTACCACTGTATTTCCAATGCCCAGGCTATGAGTGCCAAAGCAGCACGAAAGCTATAAGTGGGGAGTGGGCCTTGCCATGGTGCTGAGAACCTGGTTCTTGCAGTCCAGCAGCATCCATATGGCCAAAGGTTGTCCCTCCCTGTGTTAATCTGTCTCCGTAAAAAGCCCGAGCAGACACTCATGCAGAGGCACGGCAGGGAAACTCCTCCTTTCTGGATGGGGCTTCCAGTTCCCAGGAGGTGTATGTAGGGAATGCTGCCTTCACCTGGAGCCAACCAATCTGGAGGTGAGCGGAAATTGGGGGTTGCATCCATCTCAGTCCTGCTCAGAGACGACCCGCCAAGATGAATGGACCATGCCTATTGCCCTCAGCGGGTCTACTCTGAGTAGGACTAACCTTGGCTAGGCAACCCTTCGCCTCTGTCTTGTTTCAGAACTAAGGCAGCAAGTGCGTGCTTGTTCGAAGCTGGGAGTGTTCAGGAGCTGCCCTCTTGGGAAGCGGCTCATCAAAATCAGGAGGGAGAAATGCGGCAATATTTTGATCAACTTAATACATCTTTGTCATTCTCTTTTCCTAGGCCGTTTGATCTCTTAAAAAAAAAAAAGATTTTTTTTCTGAGGGGGAAAAAATTACCTCAGCCTCTGCTGTTTACTTAAGAAACAACAGAGCAAGAATTTGGCCGGGGGTCACGTTGGTGTTGGGGGGGGGGCTTTTTAAAAAGAGTAATTAGAGCTCCTTCCGTGGCTAATTAAGTTCTCCGGTGAATGAAAACAAATTTCCTGGAATGATCGTCAGCTCATATGAGGGGGTTTGCGCAAAAACGCAGGGCCCTTTGTATATCTTTCGGAGCTTTTCCCTCAGGGAGCTGGCTGCCTCTCTCCTGAGTCTTCCTGAGACTATACTTCAGGGTTTTTGACTTTTATTTTTTTAAAAAATAAGGCGACAACATACCACATCCCTCCTCAGAGAGTTGCCTGCCAGTGCCGTGGGGCTTCAGAGCAGAAGTTCATAGGGGGGCAATAGCAGGAAGACCATGCCGCAGCGGTGGCACGAAGGAGGCAGAAATATTCCGAGACTGTGGAACTCTCACCCACAGGAGGCAGCCACCAAATTGGATGGCTTTAAAAGAGGATGGGACAAAATTGTGAAGGAGCGGGCTCTCCATGGCCCAACTCCCAGCAATGCAGGAATCTCAGCTAGATCACCCAGGACAGATGTTCATCCAACCTCTGCTTAAGAACCTGTAAGGAAGGAGAGTTCAGCTCCATCCCACTGTCAAACAACTCTTACCATCAAAGAGTTATTTCAGATGCTTAGTTGGAATCTCCTTTCTTGTAAAGTGAATCTGTTTGTTTGCGTCCTGCCTTCCAGAGCAGAAGAAAACAAGCTTGCTCCTCCTCTCATTCTCCTCTTTACAAGGCTAAACACCCAATTCCCTCATCCTTTATGCTCTGCCACACGGGTGATTCTGTGGTCCAACCCCTCGGAGCCTTTTGGGCTTGCCGATCAGAAGGTTGGTGGTTTGAATCCCCACGACAGGGTGAGCTCCCGTTGCTCGGTCTCAACTCCTGCCAACCTAGCAGTTCAAAAGCATGCCAGTGCAGGTACATAAATAGGTACCACTGCGGCGGGAAGGTTAGATTGGTCGCAACTAGGGCCAGGGCCTTTCCAGTACTGGCCCCAACTTGGTGGAACGCTCTGTCACAAGAGACTAGGGCCCTGTGGGACTTGACATCTTTCCGCAGGGCCTGCAAGACAGAGCTGTTCCACCTGGCCTTTGGTTTGGACTCAGTCTGACCCTTATGTTTCCTTATGTGAGCCAGTGTGGTGTAGTGGTTAAGAGCGGTAGACTCGTAATCTGGGGAACCGGGTTCGATTCCCCGCTTCTCCACATGCAGCTGCTGGGTGACCTTGGGCCAGTCACACTTCTCTGAAGTCTCTCAGCCCCACTCACCTCACAGAGTGTTTGTTGTGGGGGAGGAAGGGAAAGGAGAATGTTAGCTGCTGTGAGACTCCTGAAGGGGAGTGATAAAGCGGGATATCAAATCCAAACTCTTCCTCTTCTTCTTCTCCCCTTATGGTTTTGATCTATGGGCTACTATTAAAATGAGGCTGCATTTTAAATTGTATTTTTAACCTGTATTTTAAATTGGTCCCCCCCCCCCCATTATGTTTTTATTGTAATTTTACTGGTATTAGCCGCCCTGAGCCCGGCTCTGGCAGGGGAGGGCGGGGTATAAATAAATAATAATAATAATAATAATTGTTGTTATTA